CAATTCCCAAATGAGTGTCTTTAAAACCCATTTCGTAAAGATATTAATTTTCCGTGATGCTATATATTCTTGACATAAAAATAATCTTTCTGCAAACCATTTTCTTTGTTTTTTTTAACCATGGCTCCACTTTTGCCTTCAAAAATCATCTTAGCTTCACATGGAACTCAGTCTGAACGCAACAATTCACCACTAACAATCTCTCGCCAAAACATCACAGCACCTCAGATTTATTGACATATTAACCTGGGTGGGCAGCTTTGATCACAGGCTCCCTAAATTTTGCACCATCTGACAGGTCCATAAAATATGTCATTCAACAGCCAAAACAGGCTTCCCCCTCAAGAATCTATCAAGGTTTTACAGAATGCAGAGGCTGGTCCAGCATGGCGGATAATTCTTTCGAATAAATACATCAGCGTCGAATCCTGACACTAACAGATTGCTTTTGTCGAAGTTTTGCATATAAGAGCAAAATGGCACTAAGTCGCAGTGGCCACAAGAATTTTGAGACATCAAATCGCTTTCTGTACCCGGATTCCTTAGAGAAAATTTCCCGCACGTGGCGGAATGCTAAACCAGCGAGTGGGTATGCGTTCCTTTGAAGATGGTCCCCTCGTTAAGTGATACAAGGAGAACATCTTCAAATAAATCGATGCTACCACGTCTATCACTGTCATATAATAAAACGAAGAAAAGAAACAGTATTTTCCTGATACAGTCTATGAAATGCTGATGAGCTCTCCCGGACTGAAACCTGTGGCGACCAGGAACTCGGGATCTATACAATTAGTTGACCGTTTTCCCAGTATATTTGTGATTAGGTATGTTCACCTAAATTCCTCATGGAGCGCCTTTTAGTTGTTATTGAAAACTATCAGTCCGTATACATTTCTCTACTAATTAACGAATCATGAATATACCGATGACCGAAGACAAGTTAATACAAATATATATAATAAATGCCACAATGAGGAATACATTATTTACTGTAATTAGGAGATAAATGGACACTATTTATTAATCACGGGAGCAATGATACTATTTAGGTATACACTGAGAACGAGGGGAGAAATTATTCGTTAAAATATGTTAGATATGTTATTATGTCCATCATTTTTATTTAAGGTTACAAATTTCCATAAAAATGACCCTATGTCAAATTACAGGATATGAAGCGCTTTCAACTATTCTTTGAGATATTGTCAATATGCAAAGCTTTATGTTAAGTAAAAAAGTTTTGAATATTTTGAATACATATATTAATTGTTGGTGTTTAAGTTTTGTGATGGCAGCAATTATTATCATTTCTAGTATGTACATAATTTGGGAAAACGAGCTTTTATTGCGAGATTCCTATTGCTGAAATTCAGATGAAAATATAACATTTTTTTTTCTCCATATTTTAAAGTGAAGTATTCCAAGTTGCAAAATCTAAAACGCATTCTATTTCGCTGTCTCTATCACCATTCTTTACTAGCCACTTTATTTGTATGCTTGTCATTCAACGATGTATATCTAACTATCTAGCTAGTTAGCATTTAATTACTCTGCTTATAAATCTCGTCATTTTGATAAGACCTATCCCATAAAGAAAAAAGTAAAGAATCTGTGCTGTTACCATATAAAGGAAAGATGGAAATCCTCTTTTTCTCACTCCAGCTATGTGTAAATATCAGGACAGACTGGGTTCTATAGCCTTGGATGGCAACTGGTCTAGGAGAAGGACAACTCTGAATTCAAAACCTACGGATGGTCGTTTGGAGACCTTGTTGCACGTAGTGCACCAGGTCTCTGTTTTCGGCTCTTCAAAAAGTGTGGATGTTTCTGCACAAAACCTTCACCAATATAATCAAATCTCATTGTCGGGTTGTCGGATTACTAGAAACTAATCTGCTTGACCCTCATACGTCGAATTCGACGGGGGAGTCGAGTATATATATAAAGTAACAACATACACACACACACACACACACACACATACACATATATATATATATATATATATATATATATACAAATATAGGATTGGTATATAGGAAATAAATTCCAATAACCAAAAGACACTATTCTTAATAGAGTGCTCAATACAGAGTAGAGCAAATATAATTTATTCGAAAATTATTGCATAAATATGTTATAAAATCACTACAAAGTAGCCATTTAGTTTCAAAATTTCTGAAATGAGCTGATAAGACACTGATCACTTAATTAGATTAGATATGACTTAGATTAGACTTGATAAGACACCAGAAGAATTGAATATGTTTGTATATATATATATACATATATATATATATATATATATATATATATATATATATATATATATATATATATATATATGCTAATGAAAATATATGATAATCCGTATGGAATTTCCAGGAGGACATAGATCCAGGGAAAGCTCTATATTAAAAGTAAATGAAGAAAAATTAAAAATAACACAGACATCTCATTTTAACAGATATATTTACCAAATACATAAAAATATCTTGACATACTACAGAGTAAAATTAACAATAAAATCCCGATTGTCTTAAACGACGCCCTCCAGACGACTACTTCGGAATCTCCAGTAACATTTCTGGACGGTCTCCTTGTTTAAGTTGGTGTATGCCAGCAAAATGCTAGCCTTCAGTTCATCTTTGGTATTACAATGATGGTCTCTGGCTCAACTGCGGCCCACACATAATAATGAAGGAGGTTGCACACTGGAGAGTTATGTGGCCAGATGTAAGCGGTAATGTGTTTGCAGAAATTGTTTGACAGCCATGATTGCTTACTCCTGCTTGTAAGGCATGGTACATGTTGCCAGAAATAGGTTTTCCCAGCAGCCAATCTCTTGACCTCCTTAAGACACTTGATGTAGGCCTCCTGGTTGAGTCTAAGTCGCTCATCAGTAAATTCGGGAGTTTTTTTTTCTTATCAGAATGATCAGAGTGAGTTTTCCTAGTTGCCGTAACTTCGTAATCCCCATTAGACTCATCCGACTCTCTCTGAATCCTTTGAACTGTCCTCAGATTGACACCCAAATGCTCTGAATTTTTCATATTGGATTAAGGCAAGAGGTAAAGAACTGACAAATTCGCTAAAAGAACTGATTGTTAATCTCTGGAAAGCATGTAAAAGTTACAGGAAAATCTCTGGCAACCTGAATATTCCATTTATTACCATTAGTTCACTCATTTCCTGGTATAAAAACTCAAAGTTGTTGAAAAGCAAAGAAGAAAAGTTGCCCCACGGAAATTAATGCGTCAAATTAAACAAAAACTAATGGTTACTCGTCAAGAGTTGCAAGATGATTTGCTTTCATCAGAAATGTGTGTCACTAAACGGACAATAAGCAATGAAATTCATAGGAACAATCTAAAGTCACGCTCTCCTGGGAAAAAAATCCACTGCTATGGAATAGACAAAGATACGCCAGCTGGAAATCCGTTCGTGAACATTAGGATAAGGAAAAATGGTATTGGGAAAGAGTATGGACATACGAAACCAAAATTGAGTTGTTTGGACGTAATTCTAGAAATCATGTATGGATGAATGATGGCGATGACGTCAAGAAAAAGAACACAGTTCCAACAGTGTAATTTGGTATTGGCAGCATCATGGTTTGGCGATTTTTTTTTTTTGCAAAATGTATTTGCAACATATCTGCAATAGATGGTAGAATGAATGCCGCAGCATATCAAAATATTTTGGAAGCAAATTTAATGATTTCCCTTGAAAATCTTGAACTTCCACCTGACTGTACCTGCCAAGAAGATAATGATCCTAAGAACACTGAAAAATCTCCGAACAAATGGCTTGCTGAAAATAATATAAATCAAATGAAATGGCCAAATCTGTCCCTAGATTTAAACGTAATGGAAAAGTCAAGGTTGTTTGTTATAGAAGTGAATAATCTATATTATACAAAGTATTAAATGAAGATTATGTATTGTTTCTGTATTGTACGAATACATTCCACCCCGTTAAAAGGGATAAAATAGATTTATTTGTATTAACTCGAAATTATTTCTGTTTTCTATGCATATTTAGTTATTATGCATCTGTGTACAGTAAATTATTGGAAAATTTTGTTCATTCATTAGTTGGATATACAATAAATTAAAAAATGTGTAAGAATAATTCTTTCCCTCACTGTATGTATATATATATATATATATATATATATATATATATATATATATATATATATATATATATGTGTGTGTGTGTGTGTGTGTGTGTGTGTGTGTGTGTGTGTGTGTGTATGTGTATGTCTGTGTGTGTCTGTGTATATATATATATATGTTTGTATGTATATGCGTATGTGCATATAAATAGTGTACTTAAATGCATGTATATATATGTGTACTTAAAATGCATGTATATATATGCGTATATATCCTTATCTATCTATCTATCTATCTATCTATATTCATATATCTATCTATCTATCTATCTATCTATCTATTCATCTATCTATCTATCTCTCTCTATATATATATATATATATATATATATATATATATATATATATATTCTTCAATTAATATACATTGTAACGTTTTATATCTATCACAAAAATGTTCAGAAAAAGAGCCTATTTTATTTAAATAATGCGTGTCATATATATATATATATATATATATATATATATATATATATATATATATATATATATATATATATATATATATATATATATATATATATATATATATATATATTTATTTATGTGTGTGTGTGTCTGTGTGTGTGTGTCTGTGTTTGTGTGTGTGCATGGATGATGGAGTAATATCTTTTAGTCTGACGTGAAATCAACCTGTGTCTTTCCATGATGACTTATATTTCATTACTTAGTTTGAATAATCTCAAAGGAATTTACATCCATGTGAATTCGCTAAACTCTGTCTGCCGTTTCCTTTTCGACTTGAAAGTCCATTTTTTATGATGTTTCTCTAAAAGAAAATCACTTTCCGCATAGCACATCGAATATACAGAATATATTATCATACTTGCAGAAACCATTTAACATGAGAATTATGAAATAATAGATAGATAATGAACAAATGGGCATATATATATAATAACAAATAGGCATAGATAGATAGATAGATAGATAGATAGATAGATAGATAGATAGATATAAATATATATATAGATAGATAGATAGATAGATAGAAAGAAAGAAAGAAAGAAAGAAAGAAAGAAAGAAAGAAAGAAAGATGATGGACAAATGAAAATAGATAGATAGATAGAAAAATGATGGACAAATGAAAATAGATAGATAGATAGATAGATAGATAGATAGATAGATAGATAGATAGATAGATAAAAAAATTGGTATAGATAGATAGGTAGATTGATCGATAAATAGATAATGAAAGATTAGGCATAGATAGATAATAAATAATAAATTGGCATAGATAGATAAATAATAAACAAATGAATTTAGATAATAAACAAATGAAGTTAGATAAAAAATTGGCATAGATAGATCTCTTGATAAATAGACAGATAATGAACGAATTGGCATAGATACATAATAAATAATAAGTTGGCATAGATAGATAGATAGATAGATAGATAGATAGATAGATAGATAGATGGAATTTGTAAGCCTCAAACTGTAATAAATTTAACTGCTCAGCCCTTTAACACTTTGTTCACTTTTCCACTTGATTAAGTCAGTATTTATCTTCAGATAATAGAGTCACATATTAAAATGCACGACCTGTAGGATTTTGAAAGATGACAAAAAATTGGTGTTCGATTAGCAGGGTGTTCTGTAACCAAAACTTCTGAATTATTGACTGACTGTTGTGTCCACCGTTATAACAGCTTACACAAAACAAGACAAAAAAAATCATCAGCAAAGAGTAATAGTGGACAGAATCTAAAGTTGACCGAAAGAGGCCGACGAACTTTAAAACGAATTGTGGTAGAATATCATCAAACTACTGCAGGAACAGTGACATCAGAACTCATTACTCACCTAGCCATATATATTTTATATATCCATATTACGCCGCGGAGATTCACAAAGTTGGTATCCACGGAAGGGCTGCAATTCCTAAACCTCTGATTTCAACGTCGAGGTCCAAGTTGCAAAAATAAATGGTGTGATGATCACAAAAATTGGACATTCGAAGAATGGATAAACGTTATTTGGTCTGATGAGTTCTTTCACGTGATTTCTTACAAAAGGGCGGGCTTATGTCTGGAGAACACCGCCGTGTGAATCCTAGGATCCGGTTTGTATACTCCCGATAGTCAAACTAGGAGGTGGCTCAGTAATGATTTGAAAGGCAATTTCCTGTTATTCTTCTGATCCTGTCTTAATAGTCTTCTGATCCTATCTCGATAGCTTAATGATAATGTCCTTACAATCGCTATCATAGTGTTGTCAGAATGTTCCTTATTCCAAGATGATATTGCACCGATAACAAGTCATGGTTCATAACGTAATTAAACATCTTCCATGGTCAGCACAACCACCTGATCTCAACATAATTAAACCATTATGGAGAGTTCTAGAAAAGAAAAAGAGGAACAAATTTCCTCCTCCATCTTCGTTAAAGCAATTTTCCGAGATTTTGATTGAAGAATGGAATAAAATTCTATGGAAAAAAATTCAAAACTTACCTGATTCCATTCCACGTAGAACCAAAGCATTTTTAGAAGCTAATGGAGATCCCAAACCTCATTGATCAATAAATAAATGTTTAAGCCAGGCATTCACATTATCTAGTCCATGTGGATAGATAGATAGATAAATAGATAGATAGGTAGATAGATAGATAGATAGATAGATAGATAGATAATGAACAAAATGGCATAGATAGAAAGATAGATAGATAGATAGATAGATAGATAGATAGATAGATAGATAGATAGATAGATAGATAGATAGATGTGCGTATGGGATTCAAACATATCCATATCCAAGTGTATACATTTGTGCATGTGAATATATATATATATATATATATATATATATATATATATATATATATATATATAGATAGATAGATAGATGGGTGTCGTTGTTCAACACTGTAAAGTGCTATAAAACCAAAACATTAACATTAGTTCATGTGGATTTCATACATGGCTCCTCTCTTGTTCAAATATGTCCAAACAATCAGTTGTATACATTCATTTTTTTCAGATTAATGATTAAAAATGTTTTCATGCGAATGAGGCCTGTACGTTTTTTTTTTTCTTCGGGGGGGGGATTGTTCTTCGTATTTCATAAGCAAATTTAATAAAACTACGTTTTCAAAAGCGACCAGCAAGTTATATGGATAACACATATACCTCGAAGAGAAAATAATAACATAACCAAGAATTTTGACGTTCAATACTAACTCAAGTAAGGAAGGAACATAACAGAAAAGATGTATAACAGTTACTGGATCTGAAAAATCTATTTTCCTGAATATTGTTTTAATAGAAACCATTCTGTCAAAGAATGCCTAATATTTCCCTATATAGAAACAGCTAGTATTACCATTTCTATGTGTGTGTGGGTGTGTATGTATGTGCATGAGCGTGTGTGTGTAAAACAAAGGAGCAAACTTGAATAGAAAGAAATTTCCATGAAAATCAGTTAAACTTTCATTAAATTATTAAGAAAATATGCAAAATAGTTGCAGTTCAGTTTCATCTCTACAGAGTAAACTAAAATTCTGTTAACACTAGTATGAGGGGAATCATTTATTCAGTGTCTACTAAACAGTCAACACCTGTTCACCAGCACTATTAATACATAAAAACCTGCGATCAGCAGTACGGTTTAGTGCCTTGACACACATTTCACATTTACACCTTTTCTTCTGTCCTTGAGTTCCTCGATGTCTCTAACTTTTTTGCTATACACGCGATCCTTTTCATACCCCTTAAACAAAAGTCGCAGAGTCTCAGATCAAGATAGTGTGGTAGCCATGCTAACGGTCCGCCACGCCCTATGCAAGAATTTGGGAAACTTTTATCGAAACAAGCGCGAATAGTATGGCCGAAATGAGGCGGTGCACCATCCTCTTGGAAATAAACTGCTCGTCTGATATGTAGGGGTATATGTTATCAATGACAAACTCTTGCAGCATTTGTATGTAAGCATTTGCAATAACCTTTGGATTCGTACAGAAATATGGGCCAATTAAAACTTGACTTCTTGTTATGGGGTATGTGAAATGTAATATCAGACTTTCCTGTGAAATAAGTGGCAAGGCACTAAACTGTACTGTTGATTGCTGGCTTCTATGCATCAATCGTACTGGTGGACAGGTGGAGACCGTTCAGTAATTTCGGAATAAATGAATCCTCTCATACTTGTGTTAACATAATTTCGACTCACCCTGTATTTTTATGTTTTAGCCGCATGTGTTTTATTAATTTTGCGACAATGTATTTGATAAGTTGTCATGTTTTCTTTTGTTTTCTTTGTCGATGAGATATTCAATAATGTCATATATATATATATACTCTTGCCCGGATTCGTCAATTCCAGTACACAAGGAAAAATGCATTAATCCTTTCAGAATCCAAGTTTATTCTAATGCTTGTAACTAAATATTCGTCGAATAAATCTTTCACAAACAGAAAGCCAAATTTATGAGAAATTCTATAAAGAATCTATTCTATTAATGTCAACCAATCCAATTTTGCCCATATTAATCTATAGCAATTTCATTTTAACCAGTTCTTAAATCTGATTCTATTCTATATTAGTTCCGAATATTGATTTTGAAATCAGGCAAGTTTTCTCCATTTAAAAGATTATCGGACCTCAATTTTCATAATAGTCAGTTTCTTTTGTCTTTATGCATTTCGAAGTTAAAGTAATTTCTACTTGACGTAGAAACTTTTGTTAAAAACCTATGCCAAATTTTTAACCATAAATGTTATCACGTTCGGCTGCCCATGTCTCGCGATATCTCGTCTAGTTCTTATTTAGTATTACTCAGTTATTGCTCGCCTCTTTTCCACTGATGTTAAATTTGCACTAATAAGTCCACAAACTGAACTTTCAATTACTATCTCATCAATTTCCCGATCATAAACTAAGTCAATCATGATTGTAGAACATGAAGCTTTAAACTTTATCGGTTTGTTGATGCTGCTGCTTGTCACGCTATACTGCATTCAATACGGCTTCACTTTTCTTATTGCTGCTGCTCTGCTTTTGAAGCCTTGCTGTCATTGCTTTCTTTATCTGTTAACGTCATCCATACCATATTCATTTCTTTGCTAGACCTACTAAATAGGTTCAGATTGCCTATTGGCAGTGGAGCGAAACCGATCTTTTTGTCGCAGCTCACCAATGGAGAAGTAAACCAACTCCTTTCCTCCATTAGGTTGGTGTGAGACCTTGAGAAAGTCTTAACAACCCTTAATCTTCACGTACCAGAGATACGGTGAAGCCAGTGGTCAGCACTAGTCTCTTCGGCAGATGAATGAGTTCTCCAATAAAACTAACGGTTTGTGATACCTAGTATAGTAAGGTTGCTACTGCGGGTCATTTGCCTAAGGACTCCATGGTAATGCTTCAATTTCGCAAGAGATAAGGTCCTAGTTATAACAGGGAATGTTGCTGATGGCGCATGACGACACCTTTGGTATTACACTCCATTGTAGACAACGAAGGGCACAGTGAAAGAAGAGTTAAAGTTAAATTCAAAGTCAATAGCAACAATCGAAGCATCAATGCTGGCCAGGTACCAACGATTATCGATCGGCTCGAAGACATTCCGGCCACTGCCGAACCTTGATGAATCTCCTTCTTATATCTTCGTCAAATATGAGGGCCTGTCGATAATGATGCCTAGTCTATGGGCTGATTCTTTCAGGATTAAATATAGACATTATCACCTTTTTTTTACTTAATGTAATTAAGCTAAATTTTGTATGCTTTCAGCGTTTATAAGTAATCAATCTAAATAATAATCCGTAAAATTACATTGTTAATATGCCATTTCATCATGTGTGCGAAGAAATATGACTTGGTAAATCTTTCCGAAACAGATCTGGAATTGAAATGAAAACACTGATGTTACATACAGTGAATCCATCATTAAAATTCAAAATGGTGATTTAATACATAATAAACATATTGTTGTATTTGTCAGTTATAACAAATTTACAAAAGGAGATAAAGCTATCCTTCTCCTAAATTATGTGATAACCAAGGTTAGAGAGGCCAGGTTATTCTGTTATTTACTCTATAGCGATAGATCACTATCGCAACATATATTTGATGAATTTCACACAATTTCTAATGGTCATTATAGGGAGAATGTCTATCATTTGATTTATGAGCAAATATTCTATAATATTATGATTATTAGTCTTAGCGTATTACATTTTTAATTATTTTATTTTCTTAAGCGTCCATATTAACTTCTTTGAAACTGAATATTCCCAACCGAGAAGGTGACACTCAAATATGAACTTACATGCAAACAGTTCAAATTCTTATGTTACGGAACAATCAGAAAACTCCAGAGGCAAAAAACACAGACAGGGTCTATTTATACCCCTGCGGCTGTTTTCAAATAAACATATCGATAGAGATTTGTTCAAACAATATTTTAACGAGATTAAAGTAAACATATTTGAGTTAGATTCAACTCTGGTCAATATAAATTCTCACGGCGTCCGAAGACTTTTAAGTAGCGATTAATTGCTGTCAACTTTTAACATGAAAGATTATTTTGAACTTTTTGATATCCATGTCTCACTTAATGGAAAATTCTAGTTATCTTCGGTTTACGCATAATCTGATTAATAAATTCTGTAAAATTATAGAACGCATTTTGCTCTGAATCCATGGCAAATATTAATTGCACACTTAGGGAAGATCACAAGTCAAATTGATTTATCTGAACATTATGGTAGTATCTTTATTTTTTATATAAAGTAATATGAATGGAAACACAGGGAACATGTTCTGGTTTTGATATTATTCAATTTATACTTACACTTACTCCTTTATTCAGTTATTTCCAGCCTCGCTTTCAAAATAAAATGTGGTTTGTTAGATTTTAAACCCAGAGAAATAAAGACATTGCTATGCATATTGATGGGAAAATAATGACAGGGCAGAAGAAACTTATAGTTTTCTTAGAGTGCGATTTTCTCGGCGTTCAATAAATTTATAACGTTTGTCCGGGAAATGAAGAATGATCATGAACATCATAACAAACAAATTGAGTCAGAATGGAAAGTTATTTAATAATCAATGAATTTACTGTCAAGAATAACTTATAAAACTACAACCTTAACTGCAACATCTGTTCTTCTTCTATGTGACATGTCCCTTCAGAACGCTGGTGATCATGACCCTCCACATTTTCCTGTTCTTTGTAGCTGTTAAAATTTTTTTAACTTTTTGTCTC